ACACTTGAAATGAACTCTGGACCTTTTATCTGCTCATTGTAATTGGGATAATGAGGGAATAACACACACCCTGGCCATGGAACAGCTGAGAAGCCAATTGTCCCATTACTTTTTGGTCCCTAAACAAGTGGGAGGCACATATGCAAACTGTTGTAATTCCTACACCGTTCACCTGATTTGGATGTAAATACCCTCAAATTAAAGCTGACAGTCTGCAGTTAAAGCACATCTGTTCGTTTCATTTCAAATCGATTGTGGTGGTGTATAGAGCCAAAAATGTTAGAACTGTGTCGATGTCCCAATATTTATGGACCTGACTGTATATAAACTGTATAATATACCACTCAATATTCTGATCCAATTGGATCTAATAAAGTGCAACTAAAGGGAAACAGGTGGAACCTGTAACGAAGGAGCATGGACCCTTTTTCCTGGCGGAAAAAACTCAGCCTCGCCCCCCTGTCCACATAGGGGACTGATATTGAATAATGCGTGGGGGGGTGGAAGACACAAATCAATGTGCCCAGTGGCAGTTGTGAATAAATTAAAGTGAACACTCATATATGCACATGCATAAATCTGTAAAATGTCCAAAAACACAGAGACTAGTAGCTGCAAGCCAACACACTGGTGCGCGTGATAAGGTGGTCTTCACTCAGGTGACAGGAATCCTAAATGGCAGAAATGCCCCCTTACCTCCAAGCATTGACCACAAGGGCCAGCTTGCCTTATGGATCACACCACGATCGCAGGAAATGGAATTCGTCCTGGCAGAGATGTTGTTTTAAGATCCTTCCCCAATATCACTCTCAGGTAATATTCCCATCAGGACCATGTTAATAGAAACATGAGCAAAGACATCCTCCATAGTGCAATATGTTTATTGAAACAATAGGTAATAGAAGATAAAAATGCCCACTCACATTCAATGATTGATAAAATCGCTTTTTTACTTTTTCACCACATCATATGGATGTACTGCATGGGACTGTGAGAATATCCAATATGGCGTCCAACCGGAAGTGCGTCACTGAAAATGGCATACCGACGCGTTGCGTCACGCTATCACGTGACTTCCTCAGGGTATACTCCATGCAACGTATTATTTCTTAATTACTAACTTGCCATGCCTTGTTCTTTATGGTGTTTCTGTGTGGAGGTGACCATCTTGGTAGAGGACCTGAACTCTGGAAGCTTTACCCAAAAAACGCTTTTTCCATGTATTAATGGTACACTCAAATGCTGGCTATCCACTGGACCATTTGGCGGCTTTTAATCATCTTTCTATCGAAATAGCTTATTAGTTTCCAGTGAACAAATGGTTGAAAATGGATATCAATTTAAACTTTTTGAATTCAATGCTAAAAAACATTTTTTCAATTATTTTCATGCAGTGTAAAATACTATACAGCTTCACTTCAGGTGCTGAATACATACAGTCTCTGTGGTGTCAGATGAAGGCTTGCCTTTGGCCCATTCCAGCCTCAAGTACATACAAAGTAAAAGAAAGTGTACCCTGGAGTACAATCCCACTGTAAACATTTTATTGAGTTTTAGTCTTCATGCACACTTGACGTTTTTACAGCGGCTGTTTTGGCTTTTGACATTTTTTTTTTTCTACAGCTAGTAAACCCCCCAGCATGTTGTCCTATTTGCTCATTCACACATAGACTGTAATCAACGTTTTTTGGCTGGAAAAAAAAACTCAGAAGTAGTGGGTTTTTAGAGGAGTTTTTTAGCTGTAAAAACGCTCTAACGCTGCAAAACATTTTTTAACACCGCTAAATTGGTGTTAGATCACGTTTTTTTTTTTTTTTTTATTCATTTTCTAATTTTTTATGTGCAATTGATAGCCCCTGTGTGGGTGTGATTTGTTGCTCCTGTGTTAAACTGTTACAAATTAATAAAAACAATTGAAATACAAAAAAGCCACTAAAAATGCAAAAAATCGCAAACGCTGAAAATGTCGCTAATTGCGGCAAAACAGCGCTATACGCTAATGCAAAAAACGCTAAAAAAAAGGTGAAAAAAACTCATGTTTTTAGCGTGAATTTACACTGCTAACGTTACCAGCTTTATCAAAACGTGCATGAGGACTAGAGTTTAAGCATCAAGAGCCTGAGTTGAAATCTGAGCATGCTGCATTTCTGCGCTTGCTGTCTGTGAAAGCAGTGGTCTCTCTACAGAGGTCCTGCACATCTTCTATTGAATCAGATCTATAGCTCTGCAGTCAACAAAGCTCTCTTTTGGGTCTAAGCATCAACAGCCTGAGTTGAAAGCCAGCATGCTACAGAGGAGTATGTAAAAAGAAAGGTGAAGAAGGCCCCACTAAGTGTAGACTTAGTGTACACTTTATTACAAATCGAATAAAATTGTTTGCAGTCTACACTTAGCGGCACCTTCTCCACCTTTTTCTTTTTACATGCTCATCTGGAGATTTGCTTCTGCTCCTTTCTCTAAGGCGAAGCCTTGAAGTGTGCACTGTTCTGGAATCACCGAGAATCCTCTGCCGAACCTAGCAATAGGGTCTCCCTTCCAGCTTCCCCCTTCATCCCTTCATTTCACTTATCCAAGTGGGACTATGGGCTGACTAGAGGACATTTTGTGCGCCAACACTATTCCATGCTGCAGAGAAGTTCTGTTACTTTGTGTGTGGAAGCAGTGGTATCTCTACAGAGGCCCAGCAATCGGCAAAACTCGGTCTCCCATTTGACTCTAAGCAGCAACAGCCTGGTGGAAAGCCAGCATGCTACAGATAAGTACCCTTGCTTTCTTTGTGGAAGCAGTGGTCCCTCTACAGAGGTCCAGCACACCCCCTGTTGAGTCAGATTGATAACTCCGCAATCAGCAAAGCTCGGTCTCCCTTTTGAGTCTAAGCAGCAACAGCCTGAGTTGGAAAGTCAGCATGCTACAGATAAGTACCCTTGCTTTCCTTGTGGAAGCAGTGGGCCCTCTACAGAGGTCCCTCTACAGAGGCCCAGCACACCCCCCTGTTGAGTCAGATTGATAACTCAGCAATCAGCAAAGCTTGGTTTCCCTTTTGAGTCTAAGCAACAACAGCCTGAGTTGGAAAGCCAGCATGCTACAGATAAGTACCCTTGCTTTCTGTGTGGAAGCAGTGGTCCCTCTACAGAGGTCCAGCACACCTGTTGAGTTAGATTGATAGCTCAGCAATCAGCAAAGCTCAGTCACTCTTTTGAGTCTTAAGCAGCAACAGCCTGAGTTGGAAATCCAGCATGCTACAGATAAGTACCCTTGCTTTCTGTGTGGAAGCAGTGGGCCCTCTACAGAGGTCCCTCTACAGAGGTCCAGCACACCCCCTGTTGAGTCAGATTGATAGCTCAGCAATCAGCAAAGCTCAGTCGCTCTTTTGGGTCTAAGCAGCAACAGCCTGACTTGGAAAGCCAGCATGCTACAGATAGTACCCTTGCTTGCTGTGTGGAAGCAGTGGTCCCTCTACAGAGATCCAGCACAGCCACTGTTGAGTTAGACTGGTAGCTTTGCAGTCAGCAAGGCTCACTCTCTCTTTCGATTAGGGAACTTTAGCTTTGGCTCAACTGGCAGAGTATTGGGCCATTGCATAGAGACCACTGCATCCACACTATAAATATGGACCTTCTTTGCTGCATGCTGGCAGGGGACAGGCTTTGCTACCCAGGCTGTGGCTGCTTTCTAAAGAAAACAAACGTCAAGATTTTGCACACCTTTATTTTGATGCACCTGGAAAGTATTGATGAATCTGGAGGATGGGCTTTAAAAACGCAGCTTTACTTGAAGGTTACACTGACAACGAAATCTCTTTTCTGCTGAGACATATGACTACTTTTTATCTGTCATTCTGATCCATAAGCAACGTGATGATTCAACCGCCATTTTAGCGCTAGACCTATAATGAAGCTTCTCCAGACAGATTTACCCCGGAGAGATCCTACAAAAATAGATGTAGCACTGTCCTGTCAGTGACAGGCAAGAGATTAAAGCGGAACTGAAATAATTAAAACTAGAAATCACCAGGAGGTAGAAATTTTTGGCAGAATAGACTTGCAGAGTCTCGTTTGCCAAAATTCGTGCAGTGAACGCTGCACTGCGCATGCGCAGGGTGGAAGAGACAACATAATTCATCAATGGCTGCCCAAGCCGTGGGCCCTGAAATCAGCGCAGATGGAGATGTCCGGAGACGCAATGATGAGAGTATCCTGCTGCTGTGCATGCTTGGTGATTATGGTGAAAACTTCCCTCCACCAAGAAATTTACTTCCAGCTTTAAGGGGAGAAGTCTGCATAAAAGTGCACAGAGGCAATAGATTTATACTGCTGTAGGGATAGCTATGATTCCTTTATGTCAGCCACTGTCCCAGACATTTAGAGAGCCTTGGGATACCCAACAAAACTTTTCCAAAGTTTTCTAATTTCACAAAAAAGTTCTCTACACAAGTGAGGATATGCTTCCATCTCGTGGTTCTCCTTCATGTTACAGGCCAATAACTTCAGGTACTTAAATGGCTCATTGCTTTTTTTGTAAGCTAATAGTTTACGTTGCGGTTGCATTAGAAGCTGTGGGAAGTAATTGCAGCAGCTTTACATCAATAAACAAAAGGCTGCAATTAGCTACTAGATAGTAAATATCCTGCACTAAGTTAGGACTGAGTTCATTCCTATGTTAACCACTTCCAGTCCGGACACTTTCACCCCCTTCCTGTCCAGGCCAGCTTTCAGTGCTATCACACTTTGAATAACAATTGCACGGTCATGCAACACTACCCATATGAATTTTTTAGCATTTTTTTGAGACAGATAAAGCTTTATTTTGGTGGTATTTATTCACCACTGGGATTTTTATTTTTTTTGTTTTGCTATGTAAATAGCTGGGGTGCCCAAACTTTCGATCCCCACTGTACTACTTGTGGGGGATGATGATGATTTTTTTTTTTTTTTTTTACACTGATTGCTTTTACACCCATAAAAGCTGTAAAAGCAATCATTTCTCCTCTCTAGCTGCATTCTTGCAGCCATTGAGAACTACTGAGTGAGCTGTGATTGGTCATAGCTTGTCACATGGTACAAGGCTGTTGTGAATAGCCTTGTACCATGTGACCTCTGTGATCATTCACAGATTTCACACGTAGTAAGCGATGTCACAAGTGACATCTTGCTTACTACTCTGCATGTGATCACTGATTGGCCAATCAGTAATCACATGATCGGGACCTCGTACAGAGGTCCCATCCGACGATCGGTGTTCCACTGTGTCCGGAGGACACAGTGGGCACCAGATTACGTTGCTGCGTGCTCCCAGGGAGCACGCACAAGCAGGGTGCGGGGATGCCGTTTATAAACGGCCTCCCAACCCTGCACTGTCACCGGGAGGTGGTTAAATAATGCTTAGGGGGCAGATAGAGTAGCACTGACAACTGCATCCCAAAAACTAATATTATTTTTATTGTTATTTTACAACATTTATATGGCACCAACAGTTTGCGAAGGCTTTACAAAATGAGGTTTAAGTGGGGCTATCATAGGAAACACTCCATGGTGATTAAAATTGACCCCTTTTGATAGAGGTCCCTATGAGCAAAAGCCTAGTGCACGTTTCCCTAGCTAAGAAGGTCTTCATAATGGTAAAAGATCCATCACACTGGACTATGAATGAGAAGGGAAAGTAGATGGACACCTCCCTTAGGACTGTGTACCTAGGCCTTTGTCAATGGGGAACAGCTTTTCTCCCCATTTGAGTCAATGGGAATGAAAGGGTGACTTAGAAGAAGGTCACATGCAGCTAAGAAGGTCAGAAGCTGTTCTGGTGCACTTGTGAAGGAACTCAAATGGAATTCAGGATTTCTGAAAGAGGTGCTATCAGGGACACCCCTTGATTTGATTCCAACATATCAAGTATGAGCCACTGCCGTGCATGTTACAACCTGCTTGTACAGTCCTCATATAATCTCCTTTAGATCTACCAAACCTATCTGAGAGCTTTTTTTTTTTTTTTTTTTTTTTTTTTTTACTTTTTATTTCATACTTATACAAACAACATTAAAACATTTCATCTTCCAAAATATACTTTTTTTCTTTTCTCCCCTAAATGAATAAATACATTCTATAACCCCTCCATCTCCCACCCCCCACCCATCCCCCCATCATTGTCTTATCTTTATCAGTATCCATTTCTCCGTAACTTGTTATTCCGACCAATCTCATTGTGATTTCTTGGGCTACCTCCTTTACTTTAATTAGTTCTGTATAAGATTCTGCGGTTTTAAAATTTAACCAAACACTCCATATTCTTTTAAATATTCCCATCTTATCCTCTTCTAAACTTCTCAGTTCTTCCATTCTTAAAATGCCTTCCACTCTATCTATCCAATCCACCACCCTCGGAACCTCTGCCACTAACCAAAATTTTGGGATCAAACCCTTTGCTGCACTGATTAAATGGTATAATACTTTATTCCTATTTACTTCCGTTATGGGCTCAGAATAGTAGAAAAGGCATTTCAGTGGGTCCCCTTGAATATCTACCCCACATATTTCCTTGATATAATACGTTATTTCCCTCCAATAAACCTGTATCCTCGGGCACCTCCACCAGATGTGCTCCATATTGCCCTTTTCTCCACATTCTCTCCAGCACCATGGGGAGCTTTCTCCTTGCTGCTTATGGGTTATACTGGGTGTTAAATACCATCTATCCAAGCATTTGTAGTTCATCTCTACTGTGCGCATGTTTATTACCTTGTGTGTTAGGTTAAAAATACCTTCCCTTTGCTGAGGGTTGATCTGAGAGCTTATATAGAGAGTGAATTAAGTTTTTTTTCCAATCAGGTCCTTACAAAACATAGTTGGCGGTAGATCTATAGGGGATTCCAGCTGACACCTATTTTTATTGTCTCTTAGGCTGGCCATACATTATACAATTATCTTCCAATTTTCTGCCCAATTTCCTTTAGATTTACCTTTAACTGTGTAGTGCAAGGACCTGCCTAATTGGATACAACTGAAAGTGTTGTTTAGGTTTGTCCTCCTATTATATGGTTTTCGGTAAATCTAAGCCAAAAATCTCCAGATAATTGTGTAATGTATGGCCAGCCTTAGTATTTAGAAGTTTCCACATACACTATATTAACAAAAGTATTGGGCCAGCCCTCCAAATCATTGGATTCAGGTGTTTCAATCACCACCATGGCCACAGGTGTATAAAATCATCACCTAGGCATGCAGACGGCTTCTACAAACATTTGTGAAAGAATGGGTCGTTCTCAGGAGCTCAGTGAATTCAAGCTTGTTACCGTGATAGGTTGTCACCTGTGCAATAAGTCCATCCGTGACATTTCCTGGCTACTAAATATTCCACGCTCAACTGTTAGTGGGATTATAACAAAGTGGAAGCAACTGAGAACAACAGCAACTCAGCCACCAAGTGGTAGGCCACGTAAAATGACAGAGCGGGGTCAGCACATGATGAAGTGCACAGAAGTCACCAACTGTCTGCAGAATCAATAGCTAAAGACCTCCAAACTTGGTGTGGCCTTCAGATTAGCACAACAACAGTGTGTAACAGCTTCATGGAATGGGTTTCCATTGCCGAGCAGCTGCATCTAAGCCTTACATCACCAAGTGCAATGCAAAGGTTCGGATGCCGTGGTGTAAAGCACCCGCCACTGGACTCGAGCAGTGGAGACGTGTTCTCTGGAGTGACCAATCACGCTTCTCTGTCTGCCGATCTGATGGCCGTGTCTGGGTTTGGCGGTGGCCAGGAGAACAGTACTTGCCTGACTGCATTGTACCAAGCGTAAAGTTTGATGTGGGGTTGTTTTTCAGGGGTTGGGCTTGGCCCCTTAGTTCCAGTGAAGGGAACTCTTAAGGGCGTCAGCATACCAAGACATTTTGGACAATTTCATGCTCCAACTTTGTGGGAACAATTTGGGGATGGCCCCTTCCTGTTCCAACATAACTGTGCACTAGTGCACAAAGGAAGGCCAATAAAGACATGGATAAGCGAGTTTGGGGTGGAGGAACTTGACTGGTCTCAAGCCAGTAGAACACTTTTGGGATGAATTAGAGTGGAGACTTCGAGCCAGGTTTCTTGTCCAACATCAGTACCTGACCTCACAAATGTGCTTCTGGAAGAATGGTCAAACCTTCCCATAGACACCCTCCTAAACCTTGTGGACAGCCTTCCCAGAAGAGTTGAAGCTGTTTTTATAGCTGCAAAGGGCGGGCCAACTCAATAATGAACCCTACGGACTAAGACTAGGATGCCATTAACGTTCATGTGCATGTAAAGGCTGGCGTCCCAATACTTTTGGCAATATAGTATATCTTTCTATGAGGAGGCTTCTGCTAATGTCCATGTTTAGTGGAGACCTGAAACTACTGAGATATAGCATGTTACTCCCAGATTGGCTATCATGAGTAGAATCCCCCACTAGGCAGCCCTAAGGTGACCATGTTTCAGAGACTGGTGGTACAACAACCAAAAATTAAGGCATTACTGCCTGCATCTCAACTCTTCCTAAGACCTTTCCAGTCCATGATAAAGGATTACTCCATTATCAAAGGTAAAACAGAGTCCCCCTATTAATAAGCAATGAAGGCAGCCCACTCCTGCCAGCACTGGTTAGTGGTCAATGTGTACATTGCCATATCTCTAAGTCATGCACTACAATGGGAACATTTTGGGGAGGAAAGCAGTTCTGCCATGGACAAAAATCTACACAAGCCCTAAGAGTGTTGTCCACCTGCTGTTCCCTCTTATGCATAATCCAGTATGATGGATCTTTTACTATTACTAAGGATTTACATCACTAGACATCTGCCTATAGGTGCCCCTATCAAATGGGTACATTTTATTCATCATAATTTTCAAATGTTTCCTGTGATTGTCCCACCTAGACCTCAGATGGTGGGAACACAGCAAATTTGTAATTGTTCTTGATGGTTTTCACAACTTTTTATCTAATATAACTCATATTCATATCTAGTGGAAAGTATACGGAGTGCTTGGTCAATAGGCCATACCACTACTAACCGACTTGCTGTAGGCAGCCACATCTGTCTGCCGGTATCTACAGTTGGAATGAAGAATAAACAGACTCTTGTATTATAGCACCATCTAATGGTTATAAGCAGGACATGCATTTAAAGATTTGTGAAAATCCTCGAAAGAGCGCTCATCCTTATCCAAAATAACGAAGGTCTTTCACGACCAGGGGTGGACTGACCATTTGGAAACTCGGGCACTGCCCGAGGGCCCGGGGTCAGTAGAGGGCCCCATGAGATGCCCCTGGTACCTTTTTCATAGGCTTTTTTGAGTTTGGGCAAGAAAACAGGGGCCCCATGATCCCCTATTGCCCAGGGGCCCCATGAGTTTCAGTCCGCCCCTGTTCACGACTCACACTGAAAACTGACCTTGACCCCCTTCCTTAAGGTCCTTTCTCCTGCCTCCTTTCCCATTCTGATACTTTAAAAAAAGGGAAATACCTAGTTTTTATCTTCATTAGATCTGCAATCCTCATCTAGGCAAAGATGACTTAACCCAACACGTGCAAAAGCTGCTGGGCTGTTTGCCAGTGGGGTTTGGGCATTCATGAGTTCTTGCAACCTGCCACTTGGGATGTGTGAAGCAGATATCCCAGGATGTAGTTCACAAGATTTTGTGCCTCCCATTTACTGGCAAAGACCAGAGCAGCTGCTGCATACGCACGGGAAAGTCGGCACATGTGCATACACACTGCAGGTCACTCAGCCAGATCCCATAGACTGTGGGGGGGGGGGGGGTGGATTCAGTAAAGCTGCTGTGCCACTTTTTTGCCGTTAATTCCTCTTGTTAATGCATTGTGCCAAATTCATGAAGCATTTGGGACACTTTTGGTTCTGACTAGGGGTGCACTGATACCAGTTTATCGTCGAGTATGAGAACTGATAATTTACATCAAGTACTCTCCGATACCGATTGCCGATACTTTGCGGTGCGATTTGCGCTAATGGACGCAAATTGCACTTCAAAGAATAACATGAGATTTGAACAAGAATGCGATTCCTGTCCAAATAACACAAAAAGAACATTGGGGAACTGGAGAAAGTACAGAGAAGGGCAATTAAACTGATATGAAGCA